CAGTATCCCTTATTGCAAGAGCTGTTTTCTAATGTAACAATGTAAGAGGATAGTTTGCAAAAGATCAGTCTCCAAACTTTTGCTTTTTCAAGAACATAGAAACATTTCTGACTGCATTTGCCTCATAGGACACAATTAGGAAATCCCTAACTTTTAAATGAAGTAAAGCAAAACTGTGTGCTTGCTTCTCAAACCCACCAGCCAAGTATAAGTCCCTCTGAAGGTCCATCCCTGAGGTGACCAGAACTGTGTCTGTAATTCAACCCCATCAGCAGCACAGCCATTTTCATATCCTTACCTGAACCGTTCGTCCTGCATTGATGTGCTCTTCGTGCAATCTGTCCCAGAGCCTGCATCTCTGATACTAAAACAGAGGAAAAAGACTCCTTAGAATTGCTATTTTTAGCAACTGGCTATGCAGAGAAAAAAGCCACCTTTGGTAAACGTTCACTTTAATTTTCCAGAACTGAAAGTAAAGAAGTTGAATCATAAATAGTCCCATTGCAAAATTAGAGAGGTAAATAGCAATGTATTTTGTGAAAAATTTTGTACAATGTATTTTACTGAATTACAGACAGCCAGGGTTTTAATATCAGTTTTTAACATCCAAGTGATATTGCATCCTGACACTGCTGTGGCATAAATCACTTGGTGGGCAGTAGAACAAATGGCAGGAGAATGGAGTGGAATAGTGGATAAACAGTACTGGTCATATAGGACAACGAGGTATCTGATACTATTGACAAAGAAAATGGCATTCATTACACAATGCTGCTGTCTACATTCACACTGAACATTTATATATAGTAACAAACACAGCTACAAGAACCATCAGGCCAGAACTGGCACCTCCACGAGGCTCCACTAACTTCAGTGGGAAACTATCCATACAGTACTTCCCATGGGACAGAGACCAGACTAACTATTACAATAGCAGAGAGCAAGTTTGGCAAAAGAACTGCACACTATCACATACCAACCTTTTCATCAATCAAAGCAAGCAGTGCCTGCTACAGGCAGTTGACACAAATAATATAGAGACTTTAGCATGAAAAAGAGTAGTAAATTAAGAGAAGTCGAAGCTGTGATTCCTGGAATGTGTGCTGAAACTATCAAAGAATATATTTACAACATTAGACAATATTAAAATATTTATTTAATTGTTTAGATAACAAGGCAAATATTTACCATGATTTTTAAGGTATTTTTATGTAAAGTTTAATTCCTCAATTTCTTAATAAGCTTTCTTATCAATAAAAAACTTTATCTACAGCCTCTATCTTTCCATAACTGTTTTCATAATTTTAGATCCCACAGCAATAAGTTACTCAGCTTCCTAAAATACAAGGAGAAATCTAAAGTTATTACTTATTTTCAGAGCAAAAAGTTCTTTCATGTTAGGACTTTGTAGTGCTATGGAGGATAAAAGGTTTAGTGTTCAACAAAGTCAGATTAACGTCATTCTTCTAGGAAACTGAATAATAATAACCTCTGAATAAATTGCTATGCCATTAAAATTACTGCCAGTGCTCTTTAAAATAAAATGGACAGAAAGCCCTGTATCAACAGTAGATCTTCCAATTTAGTCACCCCTCAAAGACTACTGAAACAGGAATTTCTGAGGTTTTAGGGAAAAATCACCTATTTGATTTCAGCTGACTGTAATACATTGTCCAAACAACTAATAATAAAAAATCCTGTTATCCAGTTAAGAAAAATTCCTCAGGAAGCCTTTACAGCTTTTCATAATTTCTTCTAGAGATCTTCAGCACATTCATCTGCTTAATATATTGTTTATTACTTTGCTTCGAAATTCAGAATATGCAAGTGACAAGCCCAAAGAATCCAATGACACGGACATGGTCAGAGAATTCCTCCTTGTTGACTTCTCTTTGTCATGCAACACAAAGTAGGCCACGCTTCTGGACAGCATTCACCCTGGGGGCCTCAAGGATAGTAAAGCTTGAGAAGAGATGGTATTGACATTATTTGTTGTGGAAGCTGGAGTAGAGAAGGTGCATGGAGATCTCACTGCAATCCTCCAGTATCTGAAGGGGGCCTACCAGAAAGCCAGAGAAGGAAACTTCATCAGGAGCTCTGGTGACAGGACAAGGAGCAATGGGTACAAATTGCAAGAGGGGAAATTTAGGTCAGAGATTAGGAAGGAATTTTTTACTCTGAGAGTGGCCAAGGAGGTAGTGGATGCTCCATCCCCAGCAGTTCAAAGCCAGCTTGGGTAAGGCCTTGAGCCTAGTGGAAGGTGCTCCTACCCATGGGACTAGATGATCTTTAAGGTCCATTCCAACCCTTTAACATTCTATGATGTTTTCCTGAACAAGTACATGTAAAACTCAGGGAGGTCCAGGAAGTAAAAACATCTATGGAATCCTAACCTCTTATGTTAGGTACAGAGGAGAGCCACAAAAATGGTACAAAGGCTGGAACAGCTCTCCTTTGAAGAAAGGCTGAGAAAGTTGGGATTGTTCAGTTTGGAGGAGAGAAGGCTCTTGAGAGACCCTACTGCAGCCTTTCCATAAAGAAAGAGGGCTTAGGAGAAAGACAAAGACTTTTTTACTAAGGCCTGCAGTGACTGCAAAAGGGGCAATGCTTTTAAATGTTTAGAGGGTAAGCTGAGAATAGACATAAGAAATATAAGAAATTTTTTTCTAATGGGGCTGGTGAGGAACTAGAACAGATCGCCCAGAGAAGTTGTGAATGTCCCAGCCCTAGAAGCCTAGGCTGGATGGGGCTTTGAGCAACCTGATGTAATAAAATGTGTTCCCACCCCATGGCAGGGGAGTTGGACTAAATGATCTTTAAAGATTCTCTTCCAACCCAAATCACTCTATAGGTTCCATATTTCTGTCATATTTAATCATAATTGTGCTATAGCCAAATAGTTTGTATTCCACAACAAAAATATAAAACATTAGGTTACTCTTAGACACTCAATCTTTTTTGCTCTATGAATATTCTCTTGAGAGCCCTCTTTAGAAAGAAACTTTCATGCTTCTGCTTTGGATCCCTTCCACCTCTCCTTTACAGTATCCAGTGGACATAGAGAGAACTCAAAAGTTTGTTACAGTATCTCCTGCTAAAAGCTCTTCAATAAATGTCTTACACAAATGTCCACACATGGATAAGACTCAGATACCCTCATTTCTCATGTTGTGTCACCCTGACATATATTCCCACCACAACAATGGTTCCCAGACAAAGGTAAAAAGTGTTTCACAAAACATCCTTTAAAACAGGGATAAGAAATGAAATTGAAACAATTAAATTAATGATACAATGAAAATAAATTGAAAAATGAAATTTTTCTCTCTTGAAAGCAAGAGAGAAAAAGTGTCTTACAGCACATTTTTTTTGGAAAGGATTGTTGCATATCACCAACAAAGTCTAGGGCAGTAAGCCAAACAAAATCTCCACCTTCCTGTACTACCAAGTATGGGAAGTGTAGTACCAATGTACTACCAAGTCAATTGCTGTTATCTAACAGAGACTTAGAGACATCTGTATCTCTTTTGGATACACATACATTTTATTCCCTCTTGGAGTGAAAAGCCATCCAATCCATGGAATGTGCTTTAGAAAACAAGAATTTTCATGGGGAAAGCATGGAAAGAAAGAAAAAGTACAGACAACTTATCTCTTAAGGCTATAGCTTTTAAGTCTTCCAAAATTGTAATTTAAAAAGTTGGACTCTCACATAGTTGAGAAGCAATGATGATGAATTTATGGTAGCCACTTCCTCTGAAAAGGTGTATTCAAGGTCAAATTTCATTATATATTGATTTTATAGTTTCTTCAAACAGTGATTTAGGAGATTAATTGTTTGGACTATCTCTGGAACCTAAGGTTTAAATCAATATTCATGAAATGAGGTTAGAGATATTGGCTTCATCATAAGTAAATAATGTTGCTGCTCTAAGCAATTGGACATAATTAGTGATTTTTGCTTAAAAGTAGCCTGTAAAATAAACAGGATCAGATTCGATAAAATTATCCTTTTACCACTAGGGATGTTTGGTTTGCATGGCTGAAAGTCAATTTTACAAAAACTATTGAAGAGAAAATCATCATGACAGCTCACAAAAGTACTGCAACACATTCATTATGGCTAAAATGCATGTAAAATATATAAATGCGAATTATAATACAAATATTTCAGCCAAATTACTGCTAACATTGGTGTTTACTATAAATGTAAAGGCCTTTGTGTACACAATTACAAATATAGAACTTTCATCTTTAGTCAAATGTGAATCAAAGCATTTGGTCATCAACTTCTCATCAAAAACGCCACGTAATCTTTCACTGTGACTGCTTCTGTACGGCAAAAATAACTACATTAGTAAAAAGTGAACACTAACCTTCTCAATATTTATTTGGTGTTTTCTTAACCTTTCCAAGTCTGTTGGAATTGCCACTTTAATGAATTTCTGAATTGCAGGTTCAATTCGGCGGAGTTTAACTTTCTCCTCATCTTCAGACATCCTAAAAGCAGCTCTCAAGCCAACAGTTGTCCAATATACCTTCACCAAGGTAAAAACCCCTAAAAACAAAAAATCAAAATAAGGTAAATCTGTTTGTCTCATGATCACATATTCCCCAAAACCACAGTTAAGCAGTATTAACATCTGGATGTCTGCATTTAAATGTATTATAACTACTTATTTGCAGGCTTTGGAAATCTTTTTTCATAAAACTTAACACTAACAAGAAGAAAAAAAGCAGCTAAGTAATTAAGGCAGAGGCAAACATGTTTTACAGCATAATGATACATAAAAAGGTTTGAAAAAAACCTTCCAATTAGATGCTTTGATTGATCAGAACTCACATATTGCCAATTCACATTCAGAATCATCCTAAAATTTGTAAAACATGTCCTAAAAACACACCAGAATGAAATTAATTTTGGAATTCCATTTCCTGGAAATGTTAAGAGCTCCTGAATGAAGATTTGCACTCCAAATTGCCTATGTTCCCTACTGACAATGACTAAGGCATCACCTAACAAGGGGTATAAACAGGCTGCTGAAATATTTGCAGAACCAGTAAGTACATAAGCAGCCTGAATTCTGTTCCCTGCATAGTGTAAAACATAATTTTTGAATTTCACTTCTCTAAAAGAGAGATGTGTAGTATTGTATGTAATAGCATTTATCTACAGAGCATAGGAGTAACATAAAGGAATTCCATTATGCTGAATGCACACAAGGGGAAAAGAAGACACGTATGAGAAAGTTTTGTCACAAGTGTCAGTAAAAAGATATGTGCTACTTGGTTATATGGAAGTACCTGAAGTACATCAGCTATTGTATCAGAAAGCTTTCCTGATTTTCCTCTTTCGGTAATTAAACTGATTTAAAGTAATTAACCCAGCATATTACTCCTGGTACAGGTCAGGCACGGCAGAACATAACAGGTTAAAAAACATTCCTGTTTTTCACACAGCCAAATATATTATCAACAGTGAAATCAGACATCACTTTTCTCACATCTACCTACGGTGGGAAAACGCAGAGGGAGGGTGTTGGTGTTTTTCTGAGACCTGTGATTCCTGCAGGCAGAGAGAACATGGGGGCAGACACCAGCTGATGGCACTGGGTCTTTGACTGCTGTGTTCAGCCCCAGCCCTCTCGCACAGGCTGCAGGGAGCACACAAACAAACCTGCTCCAAACTCAAAGGAGCCAAGTGGGAAGCATCTTCCAGCAAGAAAGCGAAAGCATTTCTGGTATAGGGAGGAAGATGGTTGCAAATAAAACAATGCTGCATTTTTCAGAAGAACAGAATGCTAACAGGAGACCCTCCTCCTTTGATCTATGCTACTCAACAAAGAAATTGAGAACTGTGGAAAGCTGAATGTTTACTGAGAGTAGACCAAGTTAGGGGAAGTCAATCTTTAAGGTTTCAATGACACATCTTCTCTTTTTTCAGAACCTCAAAAGTAAATTATTTCATCAACTGACTTTGCAGTCATAGCCAAATCATAACCACTTCAAATTACAAAAACACACTCTCAAGTGGTCTGACAAATCCCCTTCTAACCCAAGGCATTTATTAATAACCTTCAAATAAACACGCAGTGGATGGGTGACCTCACATTTTTTCAGGTTGCAAAAAGAACTTTATCTTTTGTATTGATATTGAAAAGAACAATACCTTTTGTATTGATTCACTCTTTTCACCATTCCAAAAACAGCATCTTAAATGCAAGATGATAAAAAATACATTCTATTATACCTTGGTCACTACAGTCCCTAACTTTTGAAAGAGGCACTCATATGTCACAGTTGAATTCTATTCTGAGTCTAGAATTGACTTGTTTTTTTATAATGTCCAAAAGATAAGCATTATACTCCAAACTGCAGTACTTCCTCCTCAAACAGACATTTAATTTCCTGGCAGCTTATACACTAATCCATGAGTTTATGAGCTAGAATTAATTAAAAATTGGTTCCCTAAAGATATTTAATAGCCATGTCATGCTTTTCCTTAATACAGAATCATCTTGAAGAAGTGTTGATGCAAATTCTTCAAACATGTAACACAACATGAACTCAAAGAAACACACAGCCCATTCTGTCTTAGAAAAAATACAGCAGAGATAAATTAAATTCACCATAACTTTGTCCTTATCCTTTCATGACATCTGGAGATTGATGAGAGTCAAAACTGATAGTTTAGATGACTTACAATCTGGAGCACTGTGAAAGCAGAATTAATGTAAACAATGGCCATGTGCCTTGGGTAGATGATCTGAATTCTGAATTTTGAAGACTTGGCTGCATGCAGAGCTCTGGCTAGTCATTATCTTCTCATTAAGAATTTCCTGACAGTAAAGTAACTTCCATGACAGTGTCTACTCTTTAAGACACTGCTGCCTAAAATTCACTGTGCAGCAAGTTCTAAAAACTAAGAAAGAAATATAAAAACTCCTTACATTCTCATCAGGTCTCCTGATTAATTTTCTCTCAAATAGTATAATAGCTTCTGCAACAAAAATTCTAAGCCACAGATTATCAATGCCATGTCTTACTTTTTTTTACATTCGTATAATATCAACATTAAATAAATAAAATTAATGTTATGCATTTCTGCTTGTTGCTGATGCAATTTCAAGGAAACCTTGCATACTTTACATGACTTGTGTTCTCCTAAGCATGACTTTAACAACTCATTTCTGAAATAATAATGCCTGTTCTTTCAGCAACCACAGAGCAACAGTTTAGGACAGTTTAGGTTGGCAGGGATTTTCACATGCCATCCAGTACAAGCTGAACCAGATGTCATTGCACAGACCCTTGTCCAGTAAAGTTCTAACACCCCCATGGATGGACATTCCACACTCACTAGAGCCTTCCTTCAGTGTTTGACTATTATCCAGGCTAAAAACAAACAAACAAAACAAAATCAAACCAAACCACGACCATGAAGACCTTCCTTGTAGCTAAAGCAGCTTGTGGCCACTGCTCCTCATCCCACTGTCATGCACCTCCAAGAGCAGCCTGGCTCTACAGCTTCTACCTGCAACAGCAAGATCTCCCCTTCCTTCACCTTAAGGCTGAATAAACCCATCTCTGTTTCTCCTAGAATGACTCATGCTCCAGCCTGCTAACCACCACAAGACTAGGGTCCTTTCCTGTAAGGCTGCTCTCCATCAAGTCTTCCCAACTTGTTCTAGGCTTTCTTATTGCCCCTGCTGGAATTTTTGAGGTTTCTGTCTGCCCATATCTCTATCCTGTCAAGTCCCTCTGAGTAGCAACCCTGTCTGGCCTATGAACCACTCCCCTCAGACAAGTGAAAAACACTGCACTCAACTTCAGCTTCTTAGGAAGGTGATTTGTCTCTGTGCTTGGATCTGAGTATCAGTGACTGAAAAACACTAATCCAGAAGTGATCAAGACTGAGATGCAGAATAACTTTCAGTCAACTATGTAAATAAAAGAGACATATCCAAGGCAGGCTGTAGCAGCACAAGTCACATAGTTGCAGTCAACCAGAAGTAAAATTCTTCCTAGGTATGGTAACATACTTGTTATGAATTTCAGAAAATGCTGCTAACATACCTCAAATGTTAATACTCATGAACTTTTGTTAAACTGCTTAGTGCTCTCCCCTGAAACACAGTACAATACACAACAAACCTCAGGAGTTCTGCTTGCCCAGGGAAACACAATGTAATTCACTGATTTTAATTCACTCACAACACTTTAGACAACCACTCACAACCACTTTAGACTGCCACTAGAAAAAGTACCTCCAGCATAAATGCCTTGTTGATAAGGGCTGAAAGGCCAAAAAGTTTTTCCCTGTAAATGAAATTAACTAGAATGTAACAGTATATAGCAGCTTTCTACCCAGGGTGACCTGAAACATTTCCTAGAGTGGTACTGGCTCCACAATCACAGTGGCAATATTGCCCACTTGGCTGAGGCCTGCAGTTAGTGAGGAACACACTCCCCTGGTAGGTTACAGACAAACTGCACTTTGGGACTAAATTACATCTTTCACTTTTTGTCTGTAAAATGAATCAAAAGAAAATAACTTTGTTAGGCTGAAATAAGGCACAGTCACCAGCCCCAGCGTGTTCACAAAGTAACATGAAACTGCTTAGTGAGATAAGCAGGCACACATGTGGGATCTCCCACAGAACACCCAGAATCAGCAGCTGTACATGACAGGCTGTGGCTCCCAGCAGATCTGTGCTCTTGTGGATCACCTGGCAACACAGACTTGATCTAGGCAAGGCAAGGGCACAGGACTGCATTTTGTGAAATCAAAGCAGACAACAGGCATTTTGTCTTGGATTTGTATGTTTAAGTCAGCTGCAGAAGCTAATGACTAACACATGAATACCTTTTGCACAAAGCTGAACCGGTGGAGCGAGTCTGCAGTGGGCTGACGCCTGCCATGAGAGGCCACAACAGTTCAACCTGCAATCAGTGCTCTAATACTGAATTCTCAGAACTATTAACAGAACTACACCTCTGGTCTCACCCCAGAACCACACAATCAACTAGGTTGGAAAAGACTTTTGGGATCATCAACTCCAACCTATCAACACCACCCTGTCAACCATGGAACTAAGTGCCACAGCCAGTCTTTCCCCAAATACCTCCAGGGACAGTGACTCCACCACCTTCCTGGACAGTCCACTCCAATGTCTAATTAACCTCTGTGAAGAAATTCTTCTTGACGTCCAACCTAAACCTCTCCTGGTGCAGCTTAAGACCAACAGGCTCTGGAGGCCTACTCTGCCTGTACCATGCCCTGGAAAAGCAAGGCGAGCGTGAAAAAAGGAAAAGCATAACAAATAAAGACAGCCTTCAAGTCTTACATAAAGGCTTCAAGCGGACTAAACTACTTCTTTTTCTCCTGACTTACAGTTTTAAAAGCTTGGGCAATGCCAGGCTTAACAATTTGTCACGCTGCAAAGAATAAGTAAGTAAGCAAACAAGACAATCCAAGCTGCTGTGACACGTTCTGTCCCGACCAGCGCCACACAACCCGACCGCGGGGGAACCTCGGGCCCAGCCGCTGCTGGGGGCATCTCCGCCTGGGCACCTCCAGCCCCTCCGCCGGGCCGGACCGGGAGCAGGACGAGCCCCCGCCGGTCTGTCACCATCCCTGGGCCTGGACCGGGCCGGGGGCAGCGGCGGCCGCCACGGCCAGGCCGAGGGCCCGGATCCGGGAGTCGCGGGAGGAGCCCGGCGCTCGCTCCGCGCTGCGGCTCCCACCGGCCCCGCCGGCAGCGGCCCAGCCCGGGGCTCACCGTGCGCCCGCCAGGCCCCGGCTCGGCCCTTCCCTTCCCTTCGCGTCGCTGGCACGGGGAGCGAAAGCGAAAGCAGAGCCCCCCCGGCCCCGCTGCCCGCTGGTCCCGCTCCCTCCGCCCCCGCCCGCCCCCGCCCCTTCACCCCCTCACGATGGGGCGGCCGTGTGGCGGGCGCTGACCGCGGCCGGCGGCGGCCCCGGGACGCTGGGCGGGAGCCGGCGCTGGGCTCCCCCTCCGCCGCGGGGCGCGGCCCAGCCCCCGCCGCCACACGCACACCCACTCCGCCGCCCCCGGGCCATCCTCCACGGAGTTGTTTCCCTTCGGGAACCACCGGTCGGGGGCGGGAAGGGGACGGAGAGGAGGAGGAAGAGAAGGAGGCGGAGAAGCTGTCCTGGCCACGGAGGGGGTACCGGGAGTCTGGGGTCAGGGTTTGTCGGGAGGGAAAAGTTAAATTTATTCTTCTAAAAGAGACACAAAGATTCCCGACAAAATTTTAAGAGCTTTTCCTAGAATCATAAAGTATTCTTGGTTGGAAGGGACCCACAAGGGTGATGGAGTCCAGCTCCCGGCCCTGCACAGCACCATCCGCAAGAGCACCCCAAGTGCCCGAGAGCCATGTCCGGACGCTCCTGGAACTCTGTGTGAAAAATGTGTATTTTATGGTTGGCTTTTCGCAAGTATTAAAATGAATATTGTATGTGTTATGTTAGAAAGTTATGCTGTATTAATTTTCTTAAGTATTAAATTAACTGTCAGCTGTGGTGCTGCGACCACTTCCTGGGGAGCCTGCTCCAGGGCCCAAGACCTCTGAGTGGAGAGCCTTTTCCTGATATCCTGCCGAAACCTCCCCTGACACAACTTCAGGCCATAGCACTAATATGTTTTGAAAATAAGTGTAACCTGTTTGTGCCTGACACATGATTATTGGATCCTACCCCGACACCACATCCCCCGGCTGGCAGAGCATCTGCCCCTGTAGGCGTGCCCGCACCTCTGGGACAGGTGGGGCAGAACCTCTGAGGGCAGCCTGGTGCCACTTCTGATCAATTTATCACATCTGAATCGAAGTGTAAAACTGTCTGGCTACCTGGTAATATCTGTAGAGCAACCGTGTTACGTCAGTATTAGACCATTTCTTAGCTAAACATTAATAAAACAAAGTTAAGAAAGATCTCCAGAGTAACAAATATGAATGTACGTTGATTGTCATCTTCTAAACAAGATTTATGTTATCTGTTCATCTGTTGTTCCATGACTTTTTTGGCCAGCTCCAATGTAATTTGGAGGAAGTCATTATGGTCCTGTAAGTTTTGTGGACATTGATGTGTCACTGAGGAAATAAACCTAAATTTGTTTCCTCAATGAAGGAATAGTAAGCAAAAAGCTCAGCTCTTACACATTTTTGTAGCAACAAGCAGCCAGTCAGTGTGCATATATTAGCCATCCACTTTATGTAGACCCAGTTCCAGACTTCTTGATAGGGTTTTCAGAGGGCTAATGGAGAATAAATTTTAGTTATAATTAAGCCTATTTAAGGGCTGAAGAATCAAAATTAACAGAATCCCATGTCTTCATTAGTTCTGTTGTTCACAGTACATTACAGCTTCTGAAATGGCAATGGAATACTGAGGAATGCCAGGGTACTAAAAAAAAAAGCTTAAATTGAACATATATTTTTAAAAGGTTAAGGAGGATGACACAGGCTAGCAGTTTCACAGTTTGACCCAGATTAGGAGCAGAATCGTGGAACTGATGACCTTGGATAGTCATAAAATGCCAATAATTAAATGCCAGTCAACATATTTTTATGAAAAATATTTGATTAAATGTGTTTGGATTTAACTTTGGTAGATAACAGTGGTAATGATGAAATAATAGCTTTCATCTGATGTGAAGCAGTATGCTATTCTCATAAACACAGTGAGGAGTGCTAGTTCTGTGTAGTTCACAGAATCATAGAATTAGTAGTACTAACAGTGGTACTTGTCTAAGTAGTAATTAGAGATATTTGAGGAGAAGTGTTGGTTTTCAGAAAATTACAAAACTCTGAAAGCAAAACTAGAATAAAAATGAGGCTAGAAATGTGACATATCTTAGTTTGCTATAGGATCAAATTGTCTGTGAAGGTGTTTTGAAACAATGCAGAATTGTCAGTAAAAACATGGAGATTTTTTCCAAAGATACACTGTAGTTCAAGCATAAACAACAGAATACATTGGTCCAGTATGGATGTGGCCCAACCACAAGGTTATACTCAGCCAATCCTTTCCTTACACTTGATGGCTCCAGAAAAAACAAGAAGTCCAAGAAGTCTAGTTGTATAGCAGCAAAAGAAGGAACAGGATCACAATATTTTCAAAAGGAAAGATATTTTTGTGTGTGTGAGTTCTAACAGGCAACATCTGAAGAACTGGCACATTTCATTGTGAATATGACGTTCATGCCTGACTATCCAGTTCTTCTACCAGGGCTAATGCCATTTTCCATACAGCCCAGCAGTGACTTCAGAGAAGTCCAAATCTCCTCGAGCTAAAAATGACAATACAAAATGCTATGTCACTCATGTAAAGATCATCAAAGGAACAAGAGTTCCACCTTCAGGTCTGGGAAAATACTACCTCTGATGGCAAAAGATATCTCAGGGAAAAAAAAAAAAAAAAAAAAAAAGTGTAGCAAGAGCTGAACTTCCTGAATTACAGACAGACTCAGACTTTCATTGCAAGTCAGTGCTCAATTCTGAGTGGTCTCTTACAGATCTGATGACTGTGTGCATTCCTATATAGTTATCAAACTGTTCTGTACCACCAGTAAATATGTAGGAGAAAATAACAGGGAATCCTAGAAAGGCACAGAACTTTGTTGTACATATGACTGAGGAAGAGCTTGCAGCATTTTCTGTTTCTTTTTCCACATGAGATCATTCATAGTTTTCAGATACATGGATTCAGAATGGGCAATTAATTTAACATGCGTAGCTCTATTCCCAGCAATCTTTCCTTACACACAGACTCTCAGATAACTCATGCTGGGGATATTTCAGTGGGTGTTGCTCAATAGACACAGAACTTCCAAGATGCTTACATTATGTTCCCAAAGATGTATCTTTTTCCAGTAAAGCGTTTCAAAATTCTGTTGCCTTTTTCAACATTATTACTATAGATACACTGATTTCAGTGTCAAACAGCTTGTGCTGGCAAAAACCATTCATAAAGTTTCCACTGTGTCATGGAAAGCAGCCCTTACTGTGTAACAGTGAACACTGATCTCTCTCACAGTCTTTCAGGAGCACGAGCTTCTTTGAAACAAGATCCCCTTTTAACATACATCCTTGGAAAAACAATCAAACTCTTTCCATAATTCTTGATTGAGGGATGTTCTCGCTGGAATATGTGGCAGTATTTTAAAAAAACATATTCTTAATGTAAGAAAAATACTGGGGTTTAATTTGGGGGTAAACTGTTTCCTCCTGCTGGAAAAAGTTAGGCTATAGTTTTTGACATTTGCTAGAATTCTGATCCAAAGTTCTTTCTCTGTACTTTTTGGCAAAACCATCTCAGATTTGGTTGAGAATCATTTGTATAGTACTACAAAAAGTAGGGTTCTCAAATGGGAGTGAAACAGGAGAGGTTTATCGTACATTAACATATTTGCAGTAGCAGTAATGCTGCATAGGGTATAAAAGTAGGAGAGAAAGAAGTTAGGGGAAAGCAGATTCTATTTTGATAGAAGGTTGCACTGGATATTTGGGTCTTTTCCAGCATATTCACAGGTATGACCTTGATGCAGGAATGGTTTATAGTACCTGCCACAGATCTACCCCTGCAAGGGTCATACAGGAAAGCCTGTACAGAGAGGATGGTGGGTACAGAGACTGTCTGCAATGCCTGGTCTGCAGTAGGATCTCTCTTCCGACAAGAGCAGGGTGAAACAAGCATCACTAGCTGGTGGGAGTTCGTGTTGCTGGCCCTTAGGGAATGTGCACCTGCAGCACTTTGCCTGGGGTGCCTTAGCTATCCACTGCTGGCATAATTAAAGGAGGTAAAACACTAAAAAATGTGCTGCCGGCATTATGGCCATACCTGGGAACTCACACATTACTAGAACTTCATTAAAACCTATGTTTGGTGTTTTCTTCCCGATGTCTTCTTGTTCCCACTGAAGAGGATTTCCCCCACTCAGAACTACTGATCAGCTTTCAGCATGTGCTGTAGCAATGGTTTATGGATAGTCACAGTTTTGTTTGTTAGGTCACCTAAGCACCTTTTTGTTTCAGAAGAAGGTTGAGCTTACTCAGCTGAAAAGCTTTCTGTGGGAATGTCTTTTTTGCACATTTGTCTCTTTGTACTGGATTGTATTCGCATCATCTTAAGCTAAATTCCAACAAGTCACTCCAGTTAAAAAAAAAAGAGTTTCCTCACAAGGCAGTTTTACCAAAACTAAAGGAAGTTGGTCCATTTCCTTGGGGTTTTTATTCAAGACCTTAGAAATTCTCTATCAAATCTTAGTGCCAGTCAAGACAATGGTAACATTTCCATTAAAATCAGCATGGTGAGAATTTAATTCTTTGTCAAAGTTCCAATGCGTCCTAAGTCAAAAGGAAAAAAAATCCTAACTATTTTCAGGGATAAAAAATAGAAAATGGCAAATCAACTGAACAAACATTGATCCATCCATCCAGGCATTCCTTTTCTGAAACCATTCAGCCATGAAAGAAGGATTCAGGATGTCTTCTAACTGCAGAACCAGAGGTGTAATGTCATCATCTTACATTCTTAATCAATTTATATTAAAGTATATTTAAAAGCCATTTTTAATTTTTCTTGCTTAGTTAGGAATGTGTTTCTGATTCTGCTGTTTCTCTAACATGTGCAGATCACGAGCAGCTGCCTGTTCAATAAAACCTTCAGGGAATTTGAGAAAAAAAAATTTAGAGTACTTACATTCATTTAGGGTCCTTTTCCACTGACTTGATGTTACATATTTACTTTTAAGATTTTTAGAGTTGTCTTTGCCTTCTGTCTTCTGCCTTATGGGATAACAAAAAAACCATTGTTCAGCTCTGCCAAAGTGATTCTTTGTGCTGAGAGGTGAATAAATAACGGGGCAGGGAACATTTTACTACAGCAGGTTGCTTAGAGCTCCATCCAGTATGGTCTTGAACACTTCCAGGGGTGGGGCATCAACAACTTCTCTGGACAACCTGAGTGCCTCACAACCCTCACAGAAAATAATTTCTTCCTAATTTCTAATCTAAATCAACCCTCCTATGGTTTAAGGCCATCAAGCTGACATCACGTTGATCAGGAATTTACCTGTCAGCACAATAAGCTATTAATCACACCCCTGATCCAAAGGCCTTGTGTGCCACAGAGTCTTGGATTGTCTCCAGCAGTGGCCGCAAGTGCACGGTGAGGTCAGAGGAAAAAAGTGTATGTGCTAGTTCCTCCTCCATATTGAAGATACCAGGGCTGCACACAGTATTCATTTTGTGGGCAAA